TGGATTCCCTTGCCAGAGTAGGTAGCTGCTGTGTTTTGGGGATGTGTTAGATTGAACACCATTAGGATAGGAATCAGATTTAAGCCCCGAAGTCAAGTGGTATAGAGGAAAGAGTGGGGGCCTTTGGGTGCTAAGGTGGGTTTGGATTCTGGCTCAGCCACTTAGCTGTCTAACTTTGGTCGAAGCCCCTTTCACTCAACAGTAAAGTGGGGCTAATAAGGACACTTGAATTGAGGAGGTGTGAGCAGCTTAGGGCTGCCTAGTTAGGGCTGGCCCCTAGTCACTCCAGAATGGTAACCATGATGATGATGATGATTTTAGTCTGACTATGGCACATGCCAGCCTCACCTTCCACCTGCAGCAGAGGCTGAACTCTGACCCTGCAAGGAACGTCTCTACTATACTGCAATTGAGGGTTTGCAGTTTTTAAGGCATGTTCACATGTATGAATATTACCTTCCTGGTCTTTCTATTCCTCAGGGGAGAGGGTGAGGTGGCATGAATGTTCCCACTTCACAGATGCTGAGCTCAGGTTCAGAGAGGCCAACACCTCAGTGCCAGGCCACCCCCGAGCCTGGACAGCTGGGCCTCAATTCCCCTCTGGTGCTCTTCTCACATCTTGACCTTCCCATCACTGACTCAGAGGTGGCCCACCTACACTAACCCACAGACCCGTGGACCTGTGCTCACCACCTGTCCTTTCGCCTCATTTGCACTAAGTCGAGAATTCAATGGGCAAAGTGTGAGAGGGTTAACCACGAGATACCACCTTGCACCATCAGCATGGCTACTATCAAAAAGCCGGAAAATCACAGGTGTTGGTGGACAAATTAGAACCCTTGTGCCCTGCTGGTGGGAGTATAAAATGGTGTAGCTGCTATAAAGAACGATACAGTGGTTCTTCAAAAAGTTAAAAATAGAACTACCATATGATCCGGCAATTCTACTCCGGGTATTTATCCAATAAAATGGAAAGTAGGATCTCGGAAAGATATCTGTACACCCGTGTTGATAGCAGCATTCTTCACAATAGCCAAGAGGGGGAAGCCACTCAAGTGTTCATTGACAAATGGTGGTCTACACATGCAAGGGAATATTATTCAGCCCTAAAAAGTAAGGAAATTCTGAAACATACTACAACATGGATGAAGCATAAAGACATCATGCTAAATGAAATAAGCCAGTCACAAAAGACAAATACTGTATAATTCCAGTTATATGAGGTATCTAGAGAAGCCATATTCAAGGACACAGCAAGTATGATGGTAGTTGCCAGGGGCCGGGGATAGAGGGGAAGCGGGGTGGTTGTTGCATGGGGATAGCGTGTCAGTTCTGCAGGATGGAAAATTCTGGAGATTGGTTGCACAGCAGTGTAAATAGACTTAACACTACTGAAGTGTACCCTTAAAAATGGTTACAAAAGTCAATTTTATATTATGTGTATTTTACCACAATTAAAAATAAAAATTGAAAAAGTGATGGAGGGTTTTCAAGTATTGATTTTTTATAAGTGCCACTACAAAATGAAAGAAAACAAAACCAAAGCTCTCATTCTACTTGTGGCTCCTTCTAGGAGTCTACAGAACTGCAGAGTCACACAAAGCTGGGCTCACATGCCATCTGCCACACTCTTGGGCACCGTGTGCTGGGGTCAGTTACTCAGCCAAGCCTGTTCCAAAGTGGAACAATGATGCCCACAAGCAGGCTGCCATGGAGATTCAAGGAGGTAATGCCCAGGACACGTTCAACCTCCCTTTCCCCTTTCTTCTTCCAGGAAAAAGTCAGAAAAGCAATGAATTCTACTGCTTCCATGATGTGAGGAAAAAGCAGATAGAACATTCCCATTGTAGGGGTTAGAAAACCTAGGAGGGAAGCTGAGGCTCTTCAAGGTCAGGGAGGACATGGGGCCACCAGTCTCCTGACTTCCAGGCCCCACTGAAACGTGTCTGCTCCCCTCACCGGCTGGTCAGGTTCAAATGAGCGCGTCTTGGATGCACGGTGGGGGACAAAGAGCTCATTGAAAACATCTGGGCTGAAGTTTTCCAACTGGTTTCTCAATTTGGCCTGCCTTCCGAGCCGTCAAGCTCCACTGAAACATATGCTCCTTAATCGATGGCTGTTTCAACAACAAACCGATGTTTGTCTTACTAAGTGCTAGCAACGGAAAAGACCCTCCACATTTTAAGCGGGGCCTCTTCCTTGGAATGTTCTGTAGCAAAGCTGCTGAAGGGACAAGGATGGGGAAAAAAGAAGCAGCGCTCTTATTCCATCTGCAGAGAAACCACCCGCTAAGGGACTGGAGGTGGGCCAGCCAGTGCACCATTACAGGAACTGGGAAGAGCTGCAGAACGGAGACCCTGCGGGGAGCATTAGAAATTAGCACCTGGAGTACTAGATGGAGCTAAGTTACCCCAAAGAGCTGCCCTCTTACGGACCTACAATGGACCCCCCATAATCCTACCCTTTGCATATGCTTGGTCAATTCTTTTTTCTTAGGTGGCAGATATGTACCTTTGTACTTAGCCCAAGACAGTATTGCCATGCACAAATTTGCCCTGATTTCATGACAATGTTTTGGTTTTTTTTTTCCCCCATACACTTAATGCTCATCACCTAGACTGTCCCGATCGCCATGCAACCAGCTCCTGGGTCTGCCCGCTGGAAGGCAGAGTGGTTCTAGACACAGCCCAATAGATGCCACGTCAGAGCTGCCAGAAAAGCACCACCTGGGGCACAGATGAGGCTCAGACTTTAGAAACAAAAAAGCCATTCAGTCAGAAACAAAATTTCATCTTACTTTTTCTACCCATTTATTCTAAGAAATGTCTGTCCTAATGAAAGAAGAGATGTATAAACAACAGATCATCTGGAAGATAAAGATCATAAATGAAATTCAGTGTGAATGCCAGAGCCTCTCGGCTCCGTCGGGACAATGGAAATTGTTCAGTTCAGACCCTGTGGGACCCTACTGTGGCTGTTGCTGGCTCTGTCACTCTGACCTAAAGAATAGGGGTTGTGGTTGGGAACAGGCTCAGCATCCTGATTCTGAAGACAGGTAAAGGAGAAGAGCCACCTTAGGTGTAGGTTGCTGTGAGTCCCACCCAGAGAGCAAGGAAATGGAACTCTCTAACAGGGCCCATGGTTTACCTGTGCTCAGAGATGCTTCTGGAGAAGAGACCTGTTGACCGGCCAGGCTGGAAACCCCAGGAGGTCCTGGTGTTCCCCTGGCTTCGTGACTACAGCCTGATGTCAGAGGAGTTTGAGGACCCTTGGAGGAGTGGCCTCCCATGGCCTTTCCAGCTCATGCGCAGAGCCTGCTCCCACCAGAGCACACCCAGAGCACTGGCCACATTCCAATTGGGCGCTATACCAATTACTGTTTTGCCAACTCTTTATTATATTCTCTCAAATCAAAATAAATCAGTCAGCTAATATTTACTGAGTGCCCACCGTGTACCTAGTGCTAAAAAAACCTTGATGGATGCTGATGAAATCCAAATACATTTATATTTAAGATGCTTCTCATGACATAAACCAAGTACCGCTTTATACAGAGTGTAATTCTTAAAGCCCTGGACACAAGCCAGTGTTCACTTTTTTTAGCATCTGTTTTTCCCTGTCCTCTCTTTGATATGGCTCCTGTCAAAACCCTTGATAGTTTCACTCTCTACACAGAAGACCTTTCCAGTCCTCCTGGCCTCTTAGTTATTACACCTCCTCCCTGCAGAGACTTCCCCACCCTACTGCAGCTGCTCTCCATGGTCACAGCTCAGATGTTGTCATTAGCAACAAATGTGCCCCTCCTCAGTCTCCACTGCAGTCCTCTTGCTCTGCATCCCACCTCCCCCCATCTTTCTACAAACTCTTTCTAGTACCCAGTCTCAGCACAGACTCACAACCCATCGGTCCTAGGAGCTTTGCACAGTCCTTCAACTCCCCTGTCACTTTTCTCCCTCCCCAGCATGGACTCCATGGACCATGATTTCAATCCTTCCCTTTCATATCCTCTCTACACCCTTGAACTTTCTGCTCTTCATCATTCTTGGATGAAAAATTCCACCCAGGTGTGTACCTGGGTGGGACACACCTCTCCAGCTACCTCATGCCTGCTCCCGATGGGGCAAAACCACAACCACCTTGTCTGATAACAGGTGAATTTTCAATGTGGGTAGAAAGAAAATAACATTATCACTGGAAAAAATCCACCATGCTTGCAAAGTTCTTGTTATAAAATAATGTGGATTGGAGAGCCTGGAATAGAAAACAAGAATCTGATGTTACCCCTGGATTTCTCAGCTAGCAGAATAAACAGATGTGGAGGTATGGAGGAGTTTTTTTTTTTTTTTCCATTTTTTATATATATTCTTTATTTTAACTCCTCAATATACATTGTAGTTGATTTTTTTTTAATTTTTATTTTGTCAATATACAATGTAGTTGATTATTATGGCCCATCAGGTATGGAGGGGTTTTTAAAAGAAGGCAGCAAATAGGCTCTAACGGCGCAGCATTTGCTAACTCATCTCTGCTGCTTTGGCTTGTATCACTGCTAAGGAACCCAGAGGGAGCTTCTGAAAACATGATACTGTAAGTGCCGTCTCTTGATCCGGTTTCTCCAACAGGAAATTTCCCATCGCACGGAGGTGACACACGCATGAGATGGTACTTCCTTTCTCCTATAATTCTAGAATAACAGAAAGGAGGGTTGGAAGGGAGCCGAACAGTTATTTATTCGGTGACTCCCAAGCCTTGCTACATGCGCAACCACTTCGCAGTCTTCCAAAAGCTACAGAGTCCCGGGCTGCCGCCCAGACCTCCTGCATCAGAGTAGCATAGCTTGAGGTCTGAAATATTCTGTATGTTTAAGCCCCCTAGGGTGATTCTTACACAGTCAGCGTGGCATTGGCTGATTAGTCCAGGGTGGGAGTGTGGGCCTGTCTGCTTTAGTCCAGCAGCCAGACCCAGGTGAGGCCTGTGAAGCAGCTCAGACCGGTGGAGTAGCTGCCTTGTCTTTGTCGGCTCAAGGATGGGCAACTAACTCTTAGCTCCGGGAATCCTTTTCTTTAAAATAATGCCCTTCACCCTTATCTACTTTCCCATTTGGAAACACTATCAGAGTTTTAAGAGTTCTTGGGTAGCTCAACTTCCAGATGGGGAAACTGAGGCCAAAGAGGACACATGTCTTCCTATAAAGCATATAGTTAATTAGATCAGCCCCAGGACTGAGCTCAAGATTTGGGGCTCCAAGATCTGTCCTCCCTCAAAGCTCTTACAACAATTAAAAAAAAATAATAATCGATTTGATTTGTACCTAACAACAGAGGAAAATATAGGCCAGCCAAAGATTAAAAACCCAAAGCAACTCTGTCCCCATTGTGACTAAGCCCACCGTATCTTATGACTGTGAAAACAATGAACTCAGCACCAAGGTCAAGGGTTAGGTTCCCCATAGTGGCCAGATGCCAAAACAAACAAAACCCTTGACTAACTCTACAGAGGAGGAGGTGGTAGGAGATGGGGAATGCTAGCATGTGGGAAGCCTTCGTGAGAAAGTGCAGAAGGCGCTCCTCTCGGGGGAGGGGTTTGGAATAAGACGCAATCAGTCTGGCTGATGCAGCCCCAATCAGTCTGGCTGATGCAGCCCCCATGCAGGGCATACATGGTCTAGAGGCATGATTTCACACCTACCCAGAGTCACCAACTATCCCGGTTTGCCTGGAACTGAGAGGTTTCCCAGAATGTGAGACTTTCCATGCTCAAAGCAGGAATGTCCCAGGCAAATCAAGATGGTTGGCCACTGTGCTCCTCCCCAGATCCCCTCCCTTCCCAAGTCCCTGCAGCGCACAGGAGGTTGCACTAGCTGGAGTGTCATCGGTAATTCACATCTGACAGTAATTACAGCTTCCTTTACCAGGCTAACCTCATGGAAGATGGCTCTAGGTCTTGCCAGGGGACAGAGCACTCAGTTCCAAGCACAGAGCGTCTTACCTTCACCCTTGCCATAGGAGGAGCTGGCGGTCCAGGTCTTGGCCTCCACGTAGCCCAGCTCCCGGCAGACAACGTGGGCGGCGTGGATGGAGAAGTCGTCGTCGCACACAGTGCCCCACTGGCCATCGTAGTACACCTCCACTCGGCCCTCGCTGTGCTTCCTCTTCTGCCCTGCCAGGCGCAGCTGGATCTTGGCCACATCGGAGGGTGCCTGAGGCTGGTGATACTCAGGGGCCGGTTGCTGGAAGTACTCGGGGTAGTAGTGCCAGCTCTCGTACTGGGCCAGGCTCAGGGAGGGCAGGAGGGCCAGCACCACCACACAGCTGCACAGGCAGGCATCCAGAGGCCTCTCCATCCCTGTCCTCAGCAGGAGGATCCCAGGGATGGGACCCCGGGGCAGTCAGGAGGGACACAGAGCGCAGAGCAGCAGGAGCTTCCTGGGAGAGAGAAGAGACACGTTAGGACAGGATGGAGGGGTACAGAGACCCACAGAACGCCACGCAGGTCTAGGGGCCCCCACCTCTTTTGCCCCCACTTTCCTGTATCTCTGAAGTGTTTCTTTGGTAGGGTTGCTCCTGGCGGGAAACAGCACACTCACACTTAATTTGAGGAGAGTTTATAAAAAGACTGTCTAGGGAGATGTGGGCAGAGTTCAGGGGAAATAACTGAGGATGGGGTAGTGCCCCAGAGGGGAGCTGCTACCACCCTAGGCTGGAAGGACTTCCCAGGGGAGGGAGTGCGGACTGAAACTGAGAGGGGCTGCGTTAAGAGGACGACTTGTAGGGGCTGTGGCCGTCACTGAAGGGTCTCAGAGCCAACACACCACAACCAGCGGAGGAGGGGGGCCTGGGGACTATAAACACCTGACCTCACTCTCTACCTGTCTTCTAATCTCTTCCTGGTGCCTCCTGTTGGTCAAGCCCTATTCCACCCAACAGGACCCACAGCCGAGGGTGAGGGAGCCTGGTGGAGAAGCCTGCACGGGTGGCCTCCTGGGGACCACCAGGGCTGCGGGAAGCAGGCAGCAGGTTTGTAGGGGCAAGCACAGGATATTGGGCACACTCTTCCTCTTCCTCCCCACCTCTTACAGCTTCTCATTCTCCAAGGCCTGGCTCAGATCCCACTGCCTTCAGGCAACATCCCTGCTGAACCAGCCCCAGGGATCTCTCCCGCCAAGGCAGGTTTATGACCTAAACACTCTTCTGACCCTTCCAGGTACTCTCACATCCCCAATTAAGTTATAGACTTCTAAGGGCCGACCTGCAGCAGGAAGCCCACACAGAGTCCTCCACAGGATCTCCACTTCTCCTCTGTAAGGGACATGACTCCCCTTGGACCTTAGCTGACCAGACAGACGTGGCCTCTTCAAGGCACCATGAGTGACGCTCTGAGTCTGTCCTGGCTCATGGGCTGCTTTTCTGTCCGTGCACACAGCTAGACCCTCCTCCAGTCTGCTTTCAGGCTCTAGGCCTTCAGACACACCAGCAGTCACCCACTACACTCCTGATCTTATTGTGTCTTGTGCTCTGGACTGCAGGACGGGTGAGGCGACCACATGAGGAGGTCAGTGCAAAGCCCCTCAAACTGCTCTTAGACAGGGCTTGTCTATAGTCGAGCTGCAGTTTCTGCAAGCAGCAGCCTCTGAGAGCAGTCCTGAGGCAGGTATCACCCTTGGAGAAGCCAAGGATGCCCTGGTGACAATTCCCTTTCTTTTCATAGTGTCTGTCCCTTAGGGGTGCAGGGGGCTGAGACCAGCCTGATTTTAGCTCAGAGGGGAGGCATTAAGCTCTACGTGACAAACTGGAGGGGGGCCGAGGGGCCTGTCATCAGGCCAGGGAGGGCAGGTCAACAGAGCGGGGATGAGTGAGCACAGACTCTGGAGTCAGATGGTCTGAATTTGAATCCTCATTCCGGCACTGACTAGCTATGCAACCTTGGGCAAAATACTTAATTTTCTGTGCTCCAGTTACCTCATCTATAAAATGGGAATTACAATCATATCTAGCTCACTTAATTGTTTGAAGGTTAAATGAATGGTACCTTATAAACATTACAGAAACATTTGCAAAATGAAAACGTTTAAATGCTCAAGGTTGTAGTCACCATACCCAATGGAGCCTCCCTGTAAGAATTCCAGAGTGAGGTCATGTGGCAAGAGACCTCATGTGCCTTGGTCCTTCCATAATTCAAAGAAAGGGGAGACTGCCTTAGAAGACGGCAGGTGTGTCTCATGGAGGAGGAAGTAGATCAGGATGCAGGGTCCCAAAGGGCAAGCCAGGATGAACAGGTGGAAGCTAAAGAGTGTGTAATACCTTTAACCACATGAGGAGGGCCAGGCCAGTCGTACTGCTCTGTTCGTGGCACGTAACCACCAAGGAAGGCCTGGATAACTTTCCCGTAGCTGGAGCTGCCCAGAGTAGCCTGTGAGGGCATGGTCTGCCTTGGAACAAGGCAGTTCCGTGTCTGTCAAGGTGGTTGGCAATACCCAGTGTCCCATGGTGGGTGCTGGGGCAAAGAGGTCAGTGCTCAGGAGATAGTCAGAACTGAGGACCTTCTGGTGTCACCAGATACCCAGTGGTCCTGATCCCATGACTCACAAGCAAGGCCAGAATGTGGTGGGGTGGGAGTTCCTGCAACAGCCTCCTTCAGACCACAGCCTGACAAACTGGTAACGTGGCTCTGAGAGACACAGTGTCCTGACCACACCGCATTCCCATCAAAGCACATGTGCGTCCACAAATGCATCTACATCTCAAGAACTTTGGGGAGCAGAGGAGGTTGGTCTTACGAGTCTCACTTTACAAGGGAGAAGATCAAGAACCAGAGAGGATTAGAGACTTGACCAAAGTTGCACAGTTAGTGCAGGCAAAGCCAGAGCCGGTCACTGCCAAGCTACAAAAACGTCGCCAATATCCATTGCATATAGAAAAATGTCCACATTTAGACAGGGATACAACTTGGCACATTCCTACATTCCTGGCTTCGTTCCACCTACTTGTCTCTCCCTTCCCTCACCCCATCACTTCTTGTGTCACACATCCAATCATATCAGCCTGTCCTTGGCTTGAGTTTTGCCACCTAGAGCGACGGGCCTTCATCCCCCTCCCTCCAAATAGCATATGTCACAATCCTTCCCATTCTTCAGAGACACCTTCCCAGGTCCTCCCAACCAGAACGAGTGTCTGACTCACTTTAAAATCGCATTTTGCTGTGTTTTACACTTTGTCATGCCTGGCTCTACCACCCGACCCTCAGCCCCAAGGGACAGAAACCCTCTGTTATTGCTGCACAGGAACACATCTGTTTCTGAATAAGGCAGACCAGCTTGTATTAGATGAAACTTCCTGCCAAGAACTAGAAAAGGCAAATCAAACACTAAAAAAAAAAAAAAAAAAAAAAAAAA